ACAACAACACATCAGTGTTATCATCACAACAACAACACATCAGTGTTCTCATCACAACAATGACACATCAGTGTTCTCATCACAACAATGACACATCAGTGTTCTCATCACAACAACGACACATCAGTGTTCTCATCACAACAATGACACATCAGTGTTCTCATCAGAACACCAACACATCAGTGTTCTCATCACAACAAAGACACATCAGTGTTCTCATCAGAACACCAACGACACAACAGTGTTCTCATCACAACAAAGACACATCAGTGTTCTCATCAGAACACCAACCACACATCAGTGTTCTCATCAGAACACTAAAGACATCAATGTTTTTATCAGACACAGAGGAGATTCTAATGGCACCTCTTTCTGGACCTTCTGGGCCGTCTCTGCAGCTTGCTTCAGCTGTACCTTCAGGATTTTGATCTCATCCTGGACCAGTGATGGGTCCAGCTCCTCCTCCTCTGGTCCAGGTTGAGACAGAGTGATGTAAGGGTCCGTTTTTACCTGCTCGTCTGGTTCAGTGTCGCCCTGCACTCTGACTGCCAGGTACGCATCATCACACCTGTCACAGGAAAGAGTCTGACTGTCTGCTGCTTTCAATCAGAACCTGATACATCTGAAGTCCAGTCATGTTGAGGAATGTTACTCCGAACCAGAACCAGAATTTATTCCTCATGACTTTCAGAAAGAACTGTGATAATCTTTTAGTTTTCCATCGATCAAAAACACAGCACCTTAACTGTGTGATCATAAAACACTTAAATCATCTAAAGTATTTCAACTCACAAGAAGTCACCAGAACTCTGGATCAGAACCACTCACACATCATCTTGTTGCTGCAGTTGCTCCACTTTGTTACTCAGTTGCCTATTGTTGCTGCTCAGAGTTTGATGTTCATCTGTCAGAGAAACAAACTCGTCGTGAAGCTGAGTCTCCTCCCCTGAACACACAAATCAATAAAAACATCCATGACTGATTATTAGCTTTGTTAAAATTATTATTTTAAATACAGCTGATTCACACAATTGTTTTTTTAATTTGTTCCCCAAATATAAAAAATATATATGGAAAAGGTTTTTTTACCTGTAGTTACAAAACCTTCCTTCAGTTACTGTTACTGTTAGATACGGTTAGTTACCCGGTTAGTTACAGTTACCCTGCTGGTTACAGTTACAATTAACTTGTTAAATACCCGGTTAATTTGTTAGTTCCCTGTTAGTTACAGTTACCTTATTAGTTATAGTTATACTGGTAGTTACAGGTTCCCTGTTAATTACAGTTACCCCGATAGTTAGGGTTAGTACTGGTTATTGGTCAGCACTGGCTCCCCTCAGGGCTGTGTGTTGAGCCCCCTCCTGTTCACGCTGCTCATATGACTGTGCTCCTCCCATCCAGGCTGTCATACTGTAAAGTCTGCAGACGATACAGCAGAACACCTGGAGAGCTGGTGCACGAAGAACAACCTTCACATCAATGTGAAGAAGATGCAGGAGATGGTCGTGGACTTCAGAAGGAATAAACACACCTGTTAGTTGCAATTACCCTGTTACTTACAGTTACTCTGTTAGTTAAAGTTGTTTTGTTAGTTACATTTACCCTGTTAGTTACTGTCACCCAGTTAGTTAAAGTTGTTTTGTTAGTTAATGTCACCCTGTTAATTCCAATTACTCTGTTAGTTACAGTTACCCTGTTAGTTACAGTTACCCTGTTAGTTACAGTCACCCTGTTAGT